CATCTCTTCACATTCCAAGTTAAATGGGATTTTGCTCATGGACTACTTGGAGGGAATACCAGTTAGTAAATTAATCATTTGGTGAATAAGAGTTCTGTTATGTTTATATAATATTTCAACTGCAGGAGCCTTGCTTAACTAATACAAAATGCAGGGAGTCATAACGTTATCATTATTTTACAATATCTGCATGTTAATGCACATTATAAATTATATGCCTGTATTACAAGGATGTCATACAAATCAGAGGTAAATGGCTCAGAGGGTTTATGTTGCTGTATGTTAGCACTTTGATTGGTGTCTAGCCAATAGTTGGCTTATGCAGGGCAGGAGTTCCATTGTAGTTGGTCCTAGCTAGTTATACATTAACCCTGTTAACCTCCTTAAAATATAATATACTACACCAAGGTCAGCACATGATGGGACTGCAACTAGGCATAGTTAAGATTTTTACAACACGTAATTGCAATAATTTACAGAAAAGTTATAGCTGTTTCAAACATTCTAAAATCTTAAAGAAATATTTTCTGGGTATATACAATAATTAGAAGTATTAACTTTGGCAATTGTGTTTACCTTATATCTATAAAATTGATCAGGTTATGATTGGTTTTCTGAAACTCACATGTGGTCTCATATTAAAGGGACACCCTACATACTATAACCACTTCATTGCATTAAAATCTATAGTGCCTCAAATTCCCTAGTTCCAACTCTTAATTCATTGTTAAACTACCTGGACTACAAATTTATCCATATCAATTAATGCTAGCAATGTCGTCATGCTACTCTCAGCAAATCAATCCCGTCCAGCACTGCTCTGGCCAATGATTCTGTAGAAGCCTGAGCAGCACAGAGGTGATGGGCTTAGGACTGCCAGGGTATCGCATTACATGTTAAACCATTCAAAAACAGCTTCAGGGGAGCTCTTGTACAATAACCACTTTTATGAGATGAAGTGGTTATAGTGTGCAAGGTGTCCCTTTAAATGTATTGTTCCTTAGTTGTTTTAGTGATTGATAATATTTGATTAATATTTTTACTTTGTCTTATTTCTTATATTGCCCTCTCAATAGAATGATATAATTTGATAGTGAAAGAAAATAATATAAACCTAAAAACTCACTTCTTACATTTTGTCTTGATAGCTCATAAACATTTATAGAAATTAACAATATGTATTTTTCTTCCCTCCCATAGTTTCATTTAAGCAACAAATATTCCACAGCTTTTTCAACTGTTATATCAGCTAATCAGAATGAATAATAACTAACTTGCCACAAGATTATGAAAACACAAAAATAATTACAGCATTTTTCTACTAACATATTATTTTTTTCTGCAATACTTATTTTGCTATTTTGTGGCACCAATTTATTTTTACTTGCCAGAGTTCTTAGCAATTTAACTTAGTTATTGAAGAGTTAATCACATAGGTGATTTTAAAGCTAGGATTAAGACTTCTTAAGATTTAGTATCCTGCTGGGAGACAGGCAAGGAAAAGGATTACTACAAAAAATAAAATATAACTAAGCTGAAAGCTCTGTCTAAAAATGTAAATACTGGTAGTAGGCTGAATATATTGAAAGGCAGGGAAATACACAATGGACTATGAGGATAAAGAGTTATTTGTGTGGTAATGCAGTTGGGTTAAAATGTATCAATAAGATTGTTTTATTTTTCCCTGCAAGATTTACAAAGATAACATGGATTGCACATTAAACAGAAGTTGAAATTGACACGTTTTGTTCAAAGTTCCAATTTTGTGACTGATAGCTGAATAATAAAAAGCAATACAAAACAAGTAAATAGTGTGTGTGTGTGTGTGTGTGTGTGTATGTGTGTGTGTGTGTGTGTCATTTTGTAAAATAAAGACAGAAGAGAAAACATTGGCAAGTGACATGAAAATTTATATTTGCAGTAGAAGGGTATAAAGCTGGAGAAAGTAATATAGGCAAAGAGGTAACAAAGAATATAGCAGGTAGCTAGAGTGGTTAGACATAATGGAAATACATCTAGTGAGTCAAAAAGTAGAATCTCATAGAACATCAGAGGATTGTGCATAGCAATAAAAACAAGCCAATGTTAGAGAACTTGAAAATCCTGATAATACTTGGACTTTGTGATCTTCCAGCTTAGCAGTGCCCATGGAGACAAGATTGTGATTATTATTATTTGTTATTTTTTATAAAACACCAACAAATTCCATACAGACTTGTTGGAGTAACAGATGTTTATTTGTATCCAGACAAGTTGGACGCACAGGAACAGAGGGGTTGAGCTTACATGCTAGAAGGACCTGGTTATAGTGACACAAAAGTTAAGCTTAGGTTTAGAAAAGAGATTGCTATAAAAGTTGACTTGGGGCTTGCTGTTTTTTTTTTTAAATTTATGATACTTGCAGTAGAGTAAGCAAGTTGCAAGGCAGGGAAGTTATTAACTGGTTAACTTATATGCTTTCCTGAAGAAGTGAGTTTTCAATTATTTTTTTTAATGAATGGAGACTAGGTGAACGTCTAATGGAAAAGGGAAGGGAGTGCCATAGAAATGGTGCAGCCCAACAGAAGTCTTGAAGATGAATGTGGCGGAACCTACCATCCTATTCAAACTGCACCAGTTCTGGGCTAATTCCTCACCGTTCTCATGATCATGGAAACTCCACGAGGTGAGATCTTGCATGGAGCACCAGACCGAGGGAGACTGACAGTTCTTTGTGTTTCTTCCATTTGCGTATAATCCCACCAACTGTTGTCACCTTCTAACCAAGCTACTTGGCGATGGTCTTGTAGCCCATTCCATTGTTGTGTAGGTCTACAATCTTGTCCCTGACATCCTTGGACAGCTCTTTGGTCTTGGCTATGGTGGAGAGTTTGGAATCTGATTGATTTCTTCTGTGGATAGGTGTCTTTTATACAGGTAACGAGCTGAGATTAGGAGCACTCCCTTAAAGAGAGTGCTCCTAATCTCTTCTCATTACTTGTATAAAAGACAGATGGGAGTCAGAAATCGTGCTGATTGATAGGGGATCAAATACTTGTTTCACTCATTGACATGCAAATCAATTTATAACTTTTTTGACATGCGTTTAATTCTGTCTCTCACTGTTAAAATACACCAACCATTAAGCTTATAGACTGATCATTTCTTTGTCTGTGGGCAAACGTTCAAAATCAGTAGGAGATCAAATACTTTTTTCCCTCACTCTACACATGTTTATATTTGCTGTTTACTTACCTTTTTCTACCTTCAGTGATGCGGGCTGCTGGCTGAGGATGCTTTCAGGGACAGATTAGGAAAGAATTCTGCAAACTTGTACATTAGTGGGGTGCACTTCATATCTGAGAGTCAAATAGAAGCGTCAAATACTGCGGTTACATCAGAGTTTTAAAAAGTCAATTTTTTTGGTGCTAAATACTCTCAGATATCTGTCACATTGCAGTTTTGAAACTTAAAATTTTTTGGGTGCTAAAAGTTCATTAGTGGGGTGCTCTTCATATCTAAGAGTCAAATGGAAGTGTCAAATACTGCGGTTACAGCGCAGTTGTAAACATTCTAATTATTTTGGTGCTAATCTGCTAAGTAGTACATTAGTGGGGTGCACTTCATATCTGAGAGTCAAATAATAGCGTCAAATACTGCGGTTACAGCGCAATTGTAAATATTCTTATTTTCTGGGTGCTAATCTGCTTAATAGTACATAAGTGGGGTGCTCTTCATATCTGAGAGTCAAACAGAAGCGTCAAATAGTGCGCTTACAGCACAGTTGTAAAAATTCTAATTGTTTTGCTGGTAAACTGCTAAATAGTAAATTTTGGGCGCGCTCTTCATATCTGAGAATCCCACAGAAGCATCAAATAGTACGGTTACAGCGCAATTGTAAACATTCTTATTTTCTGGGTGCTAAACTGCTAAATAGTACATTTGGTGCCTGCACTTCATATCTGAGAGTCAAATAGAAGCGTCAAATACTGCGGTTACAGTGCAATTGTAAACATTCTAATTGTTTGCTGCTAAATTGCTAAATAGTACATATTGGGCGTGCTCTTCATATCTGAGAGTCAAATAGAAGCGTCACATAGTGCAGTTACAGCGCAATTGTAAACATTCCTATTTTCTGGGTGCTAAACTGCTAAATAGTACATTTGGTGCCTGCACTTCATATCCGAGAGTCAAATAGAAGTGTCAAATAGTGCGCTTACAGCACAGTTGTAAAAATTCTAATTGTTTTGCTGCTAATCTGCTAAATAGTACATTAGTGGGGTGCACTTCATATCTGAGAGTCAAATAGAAGCATCAAATAGTGCTGTGACAGAGCAGTTTTAAACATTCAAATTTTTGGGGTGCTAAATAGTACATTTGCGGCCTGCGGTGCATTTCTTGCAGTCCAATAAACTAAACAAAAAAAAAAAATTATTGACTATTGGCGGTTACATTTTCGCCTGACATAAATTATCTGTTAGTTTGGTCGGTGAATGCAAAGAATGAGGAAAGCGTCAAATAAGTGACGTGGCCCTGGTCGTGGTGCTGCTGGTGTTGGTGGAGCTCCTGTTGCAAGGAGAGGACATGGTCGATCTGTGCCAGCTACATTCACAAGTGAAATACCTTCCTCAGGTGTGAGTAGGCGACAGCACCTTCAACTTTATTTGGTAGGCCCGAATACCGCTCTACGAATGGTGAGGCCAGAACAAGTACAGGCGAGAGTAGATTGGATGGCTGACAGTGCCTCCAGTTCCTGCACATTGTCTCCCACCCGGTCCCCTGCTGAAAGCTCAGAGTTGGCCATCTGTCTTTCACCTCACCCCCTTGCAAATCAGCCAAGCAGTCTGAGCCACAAGTCATGCAGCAGTCTCTTATGCTTTTTGATGACTCTGCTGGTGGTTTCCGTGGGCCATCCACCTAGCCCTGCCCCAAAAGTGGAAGAGATTGAGTGCACTGATGCACAACCACTTATGTGTCAGGATGTGGACATGCAATGACCACTGCAGCACTTCTCTGATGAAGACGAAACACAGGTGCCAACTACTGTGGCTTTCTGCAGTGTGCAGACCGGCAAGGAGGGCAGGGTTGAGGAGTGGGTGGAAGATGATGTGGAGGATGATGAGGTCCTAGACCCCACATGGAATGAAGGTCATGCAAGTGACGTGTGCAGTTTGGAGGAAGAGGCAGTGGTCGCACAGAGGCACCAGCACAGCATAAGAGGGAGCAGGGTGCAAAAGCGGAGCAGCCGTCCCCTAGACGGTACGCCTGCTACTGCCCACCGCACCCAGGGACCGAGCACACCAAAGCCTGCTCCAAGGAGTTCCCTGGCGTGGCAGTTCTTCAGACAATGTGCTGACAACAAGACACGAGTGGTTTGCACGCAGTGCAATCAGAGCCTAAAGCTAGGCATATCTACATGCAAAGCACGAGCTGCAGTGGAGTAAGCACCTCAAAAACCAAGAAAGGTCTTAGGCTCCTCCTGCTTCCTCTTCTGCTGCTGTCTCTGCCTCTTCCTCCACCTCTTGAGTCACAGTGGCACCTGCCACCCTGCAAGCAGAGGATGTGGCAGCAACGCCACCATGTCCGCCACCGTCCCCAAGCATCTTCACACTGTCCCATGGAAGCGTTCAACTGTCCATCTCCCAAACACTGGAGAGAAAGAGGAAGTACGCCCCAACCACCCGCGATCCCTGGCCCTGAATGCCAGCATTTCAAAATTCTTTTGAAATGCTGTCATTCCGTCTGGTGCAGACGGACAGTTTTAAAAACCTGATGGCGGTGGCTGTCCCACAGTATGTGGTTCCCAGCTGCCATCCCTTCCCTGCACAACCAATTGGTGGGCAAAATCTGGTGTGCACTGTGCAACGCCATCTGTGGCAGGGACGCTATATCTCCCTAACTGCACACTGGGCAAATGTAGTGGCGGCTGGGCCTGAGGCAGATAGCAGTTTGATGCATGTCCTGTCCTACCACCGAGGATTGCAGGGCATTTCTCTTTGCCTCCTGTTGCCTCCTCCTCCTCCTTCTCCACTTCCTCCTCCTCTACCCCCACCTCATCCGGGCAGCGTTACACCTTCACCACCAACTTCAGCACAGCCAGGGGGAAATGACAGCAGGCTGTTTTAAAACTCATATGTTTGGGGGAAAAACCCCACATGACGCAGGAGCTGTGGACGGGCATGAAACAACAGACTGATGAGTGGTTGTTGCCACTGAGCCTCAAGCCCGGCCTGGTGGTGTGCGATAATGGGCGAGATCTCGTAGTAGCTCTGGGCCTAGCCGGTTTGACGCATATCCCTTGCCTGGCGCATGTGCTGAATTTGGTGGTATAGAAATTCCTGAAAAACTACCCAGATATATCAGAGCTGCTGCAGAAAGTGCGGGTCGTCTGTGCGCGCTTTCAACATTCTCACCCTGCTGCTGCTCGCCTGTCTGTGCTGCAGCGTAACTTCGGCCTTCCCGCTCATCGCCTCATATGCTACGTGCCCAGAAGGTGGAACTCCACCTTGCAAAGCTGGAGAGACTTTGCGAGCAGCAGCAGGCGATAGTGGAGTTTCAGATGCAGCACGCACGGGTCAGTCGCTCTGCGGAACACCATCACTTCACCACCAATGAGTGGGCCTCCATGGGAGACCTGTGAGCCATTTTGCACTGTTTAGAGTACTCCACCAACATGGCCAGTGCCGATGACGCCATTCTCAGCCTTACTATCCCGCTTCTATGTCTCCTTGAAAAAACGCTTTGGGCGATGATGGAAGAGGATGTGGCACAAGAGGAAGAGGAGGAGAAAGAGGTGTAATTTCCACGGTTATCAGGCCAGTCATTCACAAGTGGCTTGGAGGGTGGGTTCCTGCACCAGCATAGGCCAGGTACACAATTGTCCAGCCAGGGCACAGTTCTGGAGGATGAGGAGGAGGATGATGAGGATGAGGAACCGTGCTCACAGCAGGGTGGCACCCAACGCAGCTCGTGGGCATAACTGGAGCGTGGCTGGGGGGATACGGAGGACACAGACAATACACCTCCCGCAGAGGAAAGCTTGTCCTTGCCTCTGGGAAGCCTGTGTACCACATGAGCGACTTCATGCTGCAATGCCTGCGCAACGACTGCCGAGTTGCCCACATTCTAACTTGTGCTGATTACTGGGTGGCCACCCTGCTGGATCCCTGTTACAAGGACAACATGTCGTCCTTAATTCCTTCACTGGAGCGTGATCGGAAGATGCGCGACTACAAGCGCACGCTGGTAGATGCGCTGCTGAGGGCATTCCCAACTGACACCGGTGGCTCAGTGGAAGCACAAGGTGAAGGCAGAGGAGGAGGAAGAGGTCGCCAACGCAGCTGGGGCACCGCCAGCACCTCAGAAGGCAGGGTTAGCATGGCTGAAATGTGGAAAAGCTTTGTCAGCACGCCACAACAACCAGCACCACCATCTGATATGGAACGTCTTAGCAGGAGGTAGCATTTCAGCAACATGGGGGAACAATACGTGTGCACACGCCTACACGTACTGACTGATGGGTCTGCCCCATTCAACTTCTGGGTCTCCAAATTGGGCACATGGCCTGAGCTTGCCCTTAATGCCTTGGAGGTGCTGGCCTGCCCTGCAGCCAGTGTATTGTCTGAACGTGTGTTTAGCACGGCAGGGGGCGTTATCACAGACAAGTGCAGCCGCCAGTCCACAGCCAACGTGGACAAGCTCACGTTTATTAAAATGAACCAGGCATGGATCCCCCCAGACTTGTCTGTACCTTGTGCAGAATAGACATTTATACCAGTCTCACCCAGCCATTGTTATACTCAAGTGCACTTATTCTTTGTTTTCTTTTTTTATATGTCCCAATATTTTTGGGGCTACCCCAAAAAAAAAAAAAAAAACCAGTGATGGCTACCTCATTCTCCTCCACCGCCGCTTCCACCTACACCGCCACGGTCAACGCCTCCTGAACCTATGGGTCACTTAGTATAAACTATGTACACAATAGCAGAGGCTTGTGAAGGCCTTTTCTCCATGTATCAGTTGAGCTTAGTTTGAACAATGAAAGAGAACCCCGGCACTCCAACCCTCTCTCAAATGGTTAATTCTGGTGATCCTCCTGACAGCCATGCTTCAGATTTTGATTTATGTTCTTCCAAAGCTAAAATCAAAGATTCCATCTAGTGCTATTTTATGGCTCAGCTGTATTTTTAATTTTTATGTTATTTTAAGTGATTTCCCTATCCACATTTGTTTGCAGGACACTTGTCCTACTCTTACCCATTTTAATTCCTTTTGCAGCCTTCTAGCCCTTTCCAGGACTTTTTTTTAAGGCATTTAAACATCCAAACATCCAGGTTCCAACTAGTTATGGGAAGAAGACTTGATGGAGAAATGTATGCACTGTTAATGTAACGTTCACTAGGGAACCCTAACACACAGACAGGACAGAGTAGAGAGAATTGCAATACCGATTCTTAGAATGGTCGTGTAATGCAAAAAAGGATAGTCAAAACACTGTGTGCCGGGTCATATAACCGGGTGCAGCACACATATAAGGAAGCTGCTCTGGAACATGCAGCATCAGAAACACTGCCAGTCTGGAGACAGGGACCAGAGGAAGCCGCTCGCTGTGATGAGGTAAGCAAGGTCACAGTTGTCACGTATTCATCCGCTTATAGAAAAGTGGTTAATGACATTTACTGTCCACACAGGAAAAGTTGTGCCGAGCAGCAACCTAATCCACAGAAGGGTTAATGCTGAGCAGCAATTATGCAAATGAAACCTGGTAACTGACTTTGGGGTCAAAGGCCGGTTACAGCCTATCAGAAAGAAAGGAGGGGTATTTAGGCCCAGTTCTCAGCCTGCTCAGTGCCCTGTCGTGGTTTCCCTTGTGGTTGTCTGAGAGCGCGTTCCTGTTTATAGTTTTCTACCTGGTTTTTGACTTTGGCTTTGTTTATTGACTTCTCTATATTCTGGTATCCTGACTCCTGGCTTTCCTCATCGCTGTGTCCCTTTCTGTGTTCCCTGACCTCGGCTAGTATTTTTGACTATTCTTTGTACGTTAAATCCGGCCATTCTAAGGACCGGTAATACGTTACTTATTTGTCATCCGTGCTGTACAGTTCTACGTGCTGGATCAAACAGTAATCCTGACAACAGTGGCCTGACAGTTAATTCTCCTGTTAATTACCCTATTGTATGCAAAAAACCCTCTATGGATATAAATACCTCTGCAATAAAGGCAGTTTTGTTTAACCCCAATATGTAGTCTCGACTCATGGTGCGGGGTAAAGGCTATAATCAAAATAAATGTCAAGAAGTGGAGCTCCACTTCTTGACATTTATTTTGATTATCTTTACTGTGTGGTGAAGGGAACACGCTGAAGAGTCGTAGCTGGAATATATATCAATTTAATATACCGCTTATTTATAACTGTGTATAGGTAACATTTGGTTTATTCCTATATACCTTGTATAATACAATTTAGCGCTCCGAGATCATTTAATTTTACGTAAAGGCTATAATCACTCGCTACATTTCACCTCTAAATGCTGCTCAGATTACTTTGTGATGGACATCTGAGCACTCCTAATGGCACCAAAAACTTCGACTCAGCAAGGTGATATGAGATGGTCAAAAATAGCCTAGAAAACGGAGAAGTAACGGAAGTACTCGCAGACCATTACATACACCATAAAAGCTACATGTTCTATTTACTCTCTTCTGTTTTCATATAATTCAAAACTGAATTGTTGTCAGTATTATCCCTGTTCCACAAAAAACAATGAGTTAAAACAAAATGTACTTTGCAGTAGCTTCCTACAAAAAGAAATATCCAGTCCAGCTACACAATACTGCTTAGTAAAGAATCCCCATAGCCACTCCGGAATCCAAATATTTGTCAGCTTGGATAGTTCCAAACATACGGGTAGAATGAACACTGTGAATAAAAGATAGAATTCAATTTACTGTGTTGTCCTTTTGTACAACTTGCAGCTCTGAATATTTTTTATTCTTATTTTGTCAAATAACATTTCTCAAAGGAAATGATTGAAGCAAAAAATAATACAAAAACAAACATGCATTCTGCAATAGTTTTACACATTCTCCTGACGCGCGTGCTTAAAACTTTAGGGCAAAGTTTGGTTTTGTATGGTGTCTGCTATTTTAAAATTTTCTTGACAATATTTAAAAAAATAACCTCAGAAAATTCCATGAACTGAGGGATTTGGAAAGGTACAGGTAGTCGGCAAGAGTCGGGA